TGAAAAATTTGATAAAATAACCGTACAACAAATTGATTTAAATCATTTTGATGAAACCTCAAAACAAAACATAGATTTAACCAAATTTCGAACAGACCACTTAAATTCAGAAGAAAAATCAAAAATTTTTAGGCTTATTAAAGAATATTCTGACATATTTTACCAAGAAAACACTCCATTAACTTTCACTAGTAACATAAAACATCAAATAAAAACTAACGATGAAATCCCGGTATACTCCAAGTCCTATAGATACCCATTCGTACATAAACAGGAAGTAGAAAATCAAATAAAAAAAATGTTGGACCAAAATATAATTAGGCATAGCAACTCACCCTGGTCATCCCCTATTTGGGTGGTTCCCAAGCGTCTTGACGCGTCAGGAAAACAAAAATGGAGGGTTGTAATCGACTATAGGCGTCTTAATGAAAAAACAGTGGATGATCGGTACCCCCTACCTAATATAACCGACCTTCTAGATAAGCTAGGGAAATGTCAATATTTTACGACGTTAGATCTTGCAAGCGGCTTTCACCAAATAGAAATGTATGAACAAGATATTGAAAAGACCGCATTTAGTACAGAGCAGGGACATTATGAGTATCTTAGGATGCCTTTTGGGTTAAAAAATGCCCCTGCTACATTTCAACGTGTGATGGACAACATCCTCCGCGGTATCCAAAACGAAAAATGTTTAACATATTTAGACGACATAATAGTGTTTTCAACCTCTCTACAAGAACATATTGATAGACTTAGATGCGTTTTTCAAAGACTTCGTGATTCAAACTTTAAAATCCAGTTAGATAAATCCGAATTCTTGCGGAAAGAAGTGGCGTACTTGGGCTACATCGTAACACCCGAGGGGGTACGCCCAAATCCGGATAAAATAATAGCCATCAAAAATTTTCCTATCCCAAAAACTACCAAACAAATAAAAGGATTTTTGGGACTATTGGGTTATTACCGTAGATTTATCAAAAACTTCTCAAAAATTACTAAACCACTTACTAACTGTTTAAAAAAGGGCGCAAAAATTGAAATTAACGACGAATATATATCTTGCTTTGAATATTGTAAAAACCTATTGATGAACGAACCTATTTTACAATACCCGGATTTTTCCAAGCCATTCAATTTAACCACTGATGCCAGTAATGTTAGTTTAGGTGCGGTTTTATCTCAGGGACCAATCGGAAAAGACCTTCCAGTTGCGTATGCGTCGCGAACATTAAATAAGTCAGAACAAAATTATTCCGTAATCGAGAGGGAACTTTTGGCAATAGTATGGGCCACGAAATATTTTCGCCCATACTTATTTGGAAAAAAATTCAATATTATCACGGACCACAAACCACTACAATGGTTATTTTCGTTAAAAGACCCCAACTCCAAATTGTTACGTTGGAGAATAAAACTAGACGAATATGACTATACAATACTATATAAAAAGGGTAAATTAAATACAAATGCGGACGCTCTTTCCAGAGTAGAGATTCACACTAAAGAATTTCTTGACGACATAGACAAAATAATTTTAGACAGATCACAAGAAAATTCTAGACTTGACGAGACTATTCAAGACTTGAGAAATCTTGAACCTCATCATTCAAACTTTGACCAGGCATCCTTACAAGTACATCCCGACACTGATACTCTAAACGATTTAGAACCCCAAGATGAAAACGATGACGACACTGTACACTCAAATTCCGACGAAAATCCTATCGTAGGAATTCCAATTGCAGAATGTCCTGTTAATCACGGAATAAATCAAATTTTTGTAAGTTCGGTACTACATTCCCCAGCCATACCTAAAATAACGGTTCTTTTTGAAAACCGAAAACGAATCCATGTACAAATTTCTGAGTATAATTTCGAAAATGATGTGGTAAGATTTATAAAAGAATACGTATCGCCAGATACTGTATATCACATGTATTTCGAAAGTCCCAACATATACGAAAAATTTTGTAACATATTACATAAAAACTTTAAATGGCCTTTTATTAAATTGAAAAAATGTAACCAAAAATTATTGGATGTTACAAATAAAGACGACATAAAAGAAATCATACAAAACTACCACGAGGGTAAATCCAACCACCGTGGAATAGACGAAACAGTTATCAAAATCAAAGAAAAATACTATTGGCCAAGATTAAAAGATTCCGTGCAATCATACATTAACGATTGCGAAATCTGTCAAAAAAGTAAATATGAACGCAACCCCTTGCATATAAAAATGAATGTAACCCCTACAGCCACAAAACCCTTCGAAATTGTTCATATAGACACATTTACATTCGAAAAATCTAAATTTCTTACTATAATTGATAGCTTCTCAAAATATGCACAAGCTTACCCAATAGATTCTCTAAACTCTACTGAAATTGCTGACAACTTAATTAATTTCTTTTCGCATCATGGAACCCCCTATCAAATTACCGTAGATAATGGAACAGAATTTAAAAATTCTATAATTTGCGAACTTTTAGCACTACATAAAATAAATATTCACTTTTGCTCACCAAATCACCCTCAATCAAATGGTATGATTGAGAGACTACATTCCACTCTAATTGAACATCTCCGACTTCTCAACAACCAAGGGTTTCAAAATACCCCCGCAAAACTAAAAATGACATACGCAATCTTAGCTTATAACAACTCGATTCACTCTTCAACCAAATTTAAACCTATTGATGTATTGCAAGGACACGTAAGTAGTAACGACCCTTTTAGAATCGAAATTGATAAAATGTTATTGAATAATTACATTGATAATCATAGAGAACGAACCAAAATTTTGTATTCCAAAATTAATCAAGATCTAATAAATCGCAAAGATAAAATTATTGAAAAGGTCAATAAAAATCGCGAGGAACCCGATATGTTTGCTCCTCAACAAAAGGTTTTTGAAAAAAATATTGATAGACGAAAAAACGCTAATAAATTTAAAAAACCGGTAACTTAGACTCCACTGATGGAGAACGGTATGAACTATTAATAAAACAACTCCAAGAAAATCAGAATAACATGGCCGTAAATATAAAAAACCAAAATTTGTTGTCAATTTCACTAATAAATAAATTCAATTTAACCGTTAATCAAATAATACATAATGAAGAAATTTTAAAAGAAAAACTAGAAAGAATCGCTTCAGTTGTAGAAACAACTATCGAGTTAGGAAATACAATAATAATAAAAGACACCCTTATTCAAATTATCAATATGTTGGAAATAATTATTTCAATATTGCAAGATATAGAAACATCTATATCATTCTCAAAACTTAATATAATGCACCCAACTATCATGAAAACCGCAGATTTCTTTAAGGAATTACAAAAGATTCAAAGGAAATTAAAGGGCAGTCGATTGCCACTTGAAGTAACTTTAGAAAATATTTTGATATATGAAAAACTGATAAAAATCGAGAGCTACGTATTTAACAACAAAATAACTTATATAATTAAAATTCCTTTAACGACTATTGAAAATTTTGACTATTACCATTTGTACCCTGTACCAGTCGAGAAACAGGGTCAGTTAAAAGCAGTGATTCCAAAAAATAATTACTTAATAAAAGATAACTTCAATTACGCGTTTATGAGCAAGCCTTGCCTTAAGCTACACCCAGCAACATCATATATTTGCGGCGAAACTAACCTCCAAGGGATCAAGAAAGAAAATCCATGCGAAATAGCCCTCTTAAATATCCAAAACACCTCCACATGTCAACAAACACGAATCACAACAAAACAAGCCTTGTTCGAAAGATTAGATCGAACAAATCAATGGATAGCAACTTTCCCATCAAAGGAACCAATCACCCTTCAATGTCATGATCAAACCGAAGTCATTGAAGCCATAGGCAGTTACCTCATTCAAATTCCAGTCGGCTGTTCAGTGACCACAAAACAGAAAAAAACCGCAAATGAAGAAAACTTTCAAACTTCAAGTCAACCCATGTTGTTTCCCGAACTACAATTCCAAAATTCTGAATCGTCAAAATTAAATCTCAATCTTGAATTAGAAGAAATTAATCTAGATGAACTACACCAAATTAAATTAAAATTCGTCGAAAATGAACCAATAACCAAGTTCCAAGGAGTGCGCTACACCCCCAGTATATGGACAATATTTATGTATTGTTTTTTGGCCTTACTAACAGGAGTTTTTGTTGTTAGAAAAATCTCAACTTATCGTAAGCCAGTAAATCAAGAAGAAGTACCAGTAGACCATACCACCGTTCAACTCCCTCGCTAACCCTTTGGAGTTGAATCTTCGAGGGGAGGAATTACATCAGCCCTAGTAACAGATCCTGCAGATGTCGGCGTTATCAGAGTTACCAGTTTCTAGGAAACCGCTGATTAGGACTTTATGCATTTTATCTAGTTTTCTCATTTTTAACATCATTATACATTTATATTTCTTGTAGTACAGATCGTAGTTGTAGAATTTTAACTTAGAAAAAATAATTAAATTTTTTAAAAAGCTATTTTCAATTTGAAAGTTTATTTTTAGCGACAAACAATTTTATGCTTTTCGATTCAACGACCAGATTTTGACAGTGATTACGTTTTCTTTAGTAATCATTTATTTTGGGAAGGACATAATTAATAAAAAGTTTCTTATAATGTATTAATAATAAATATCTCTCTTGAAAATAAAAATTAACGCTAAAATAATAAATCCTCGAGACGTTTCGAACGAGAAAGAAAACAACTTTGTGTGTGCAAAAAGTGATAAATCTGTTATTATCACAAGGCTTTTTCATAGTATGGTTAAGTTTTCTGCTCGGCGAGCGACAAAGCTGTCACTTAATGTCAGTTCGCGGAAAACGTCAACTGATTTGTGTAATATATTGGAATAAATATGTGATGCGTATCATCCTGTAATAATATCAATGTTTGGCGATAGCCGTTTTTTGTATTAATATTGAGTTTACCTTCTTGTGGAACATACCGAAATAATACCAGTTATAATAGTACAACCTTTTATTGTTTTATTTCTCATTATAAATTCGCTCCAATAAAATAAATAACTAAAAATATTAAATAATTAATAAATATTATTACAATTTGTTAAATATTCGCTGATATTTTTCTGTTTATTTAATTTGTCAGACTAAAATGTGATGTTATAATATCTTGTTTTTTTATTAATTATAATTATTTACGGTTGTAGATAAAAGTTTTTATAGACCACGTGAGCAAAGTGTCTTTATCGAACTCGGCTCATAATCTAAGACTAGTTCGATACTGACTTGGTACATAAATAACTATTATTTAATATTTTTGACAAATTCCATTTTCAAATTGATTTATTTTTTCCATAACTGGTTTAACCATCAGTTCTACCATATCTTTTGCCCAAATAAAATCACCGTGGTTCCATTTATCTCTTTTAATGAAAGTATATCCACATTGGGCGTTGTCGTTGGTTATATTTCCATAAATATAGATGGCGTCCTATAAACAGAGTAAAAAATTTATACAGGGTGTTAAAAAAAAAGTGTCACAAAATAAAACGGGGGGTAGTATGGGCCAAAATATGCAGAAAAGTCTTAATAAACATATGTCCGCAAATGAATGGTTTCAGAGATACGGAGTGTTTTGTGTTTTGTATCATTTTTTGATTATCTTTTTTCATTCTCAAAAACTTGCTTTTCTTATCGGAGTCTACCGATGTTTTTTCATAGATACTATTTGCAGTTATTATTTTGTTGTGGGTGAATAATTTTATAAATTTTCGTTATGCCTGTTTACACTAATATTGAATTAGCTGACATGCATTTTATGTCGTAGCTGCATTGAAATGGAGGGAGGGCACTTTGAACATCTCATTTAACTCTATGTTGTTATTGATTGTTTATAAATATCATTGTTTTTATATTAATAAAAAATTGTTATAAACATAAAATGGTCCGTATCTCCGAAACCGTTAATTTGCGGTCATATATTTTCTGCTTTTCTGCTTATTTTGGGTCATACTATTCACCATTTCATTTTGTGACACTTTTTTTTAAGACCCTGTATACATTATGTATTTTTAACTTTTTATATACAGGGTGTTTCCAAAGTAATCTGATTGGACGATTCGTCGTTCAATTTTAAGATGAAACGCTCCTATAAACATGCGTGATAGGTTTTGTCGTTTATGATTTTTTTTTGTAATATACGAGCTCTGACTGCTACAAACCCGATCGTTAATCATACAAGATTGTAATGTTATTCGCAACAATCCTGGCCTCTTCAAGCGTATTCGGCAATCCATTAGACGTCGAAGGAATGCTTGTATTTTGGCTGTAGGTGCACATTTTGAACATCTGCTATGAAATATAATACTGTTTTTATGTTTATGTTTATCACAATTTATTGCTTTTATTAAAATAATAAAAAGTCAACAGCCTGTATCTCATAAACGACAAAACCTATCACACATATTTATAGAAGCTTTTCGTCTTAAAATTAAACCACGAATCGCCCACAACAATATTTCTGATTAGTTTTGAAATACCATGTAGAAGGTGTTTCAGAATAAAGTATCATAAACTGGGGTAGATCTTGACTAATTATTAAGGAAAGCTAAAGATAATTCTCCTGCAAATGTCCCAGTTTTCATTCTACAGGGCGATTAAGTGTATTTCATGAATGTATAATTTTCTAATTATCGTTCCTTACGGTAAAGATTTTTACTAAAAATTATATACTCATTATTAAAACCATCATTAATTAAAACACTTTATATTGATAAATAACAATAATAACGTAGAGTCAAGGGCTAAGTAAACAATTTTAATACAAACTGTTTGAACACCCTGTATTTCATAACAGATAAGAATAACAATTATTCGTTACGCAATTTGTTACAAAAAGGGACTCTTGGTTGATCTCTGTAGAACATTCCATTTCCGAGATTCTTTGGTTTTAGTCCTACTCAAACATGTACAATATGTACAATTTTATCAAGGGCCAATTTCATAACGAATATTAAAATTAACTAATAGGACCAAGATCTCACTAGTTAACGACCTTTGAATATCAATTATAAAATCGGCCCTTAATAGAAATTTGCATTTTTGGAATTTCATACTTAACTTTTATGTTTGGATCAAAATTGTTTTCTTATCCCTTGATTTTACGCCAATGGATTATCGTAATTTGTTGAAATAAAGTATATTAATGGTGATTAACTAATAAGTACATATTTAGTCTACGGTACCTTATTCTGAAACACCCTGTATACAGGGTGTACCAATAAAAACTCCCAGGCCAGATATTTTGGTGAGTAATAGAGATATTTTAATTCTGTAAGAACCAGTTTATAGAATGCTAAAAGAGCTTCAATTTTAAATATAAATTAATTTTAAATAGGTCAATATGTAGATGGCGCTGCGCTCAATATTTTTTTTCGATGGAAGGATTTTTCTTATATAGCGCATCTTCTAAAAAATGCATTTTTAAGCAGATTTTGTTTTATAAACTAATTCGATAAATCTAGCCATTTTTGATATGCAGAGTGGGTCACTCAAAACAGTTTCATTCTGTTTTTTGGCATTGATCATTGGATTTAAAAAAAAATGCTAAAATAAGTCGATTTTTATTCCAAATTAAACACATTTTCACAATGCAGACATCTGTCATGTGTCAACCCCCTCCCTTCCACTTCTCCAACCCCTTAATTTTAATTAAGTAAAGTACCATGTACGGCACATTATTGAAAAGGTAATTTTGTGGCGAAGTCATAAATATGATTGTTTATTGCGATACTTTTAATTCTAGCGCCATCTATCGGGATAAAAACCTGTAACGTATTAAAGTGTGACACTTCATTTGAAAGCCAATTTAATAACTAATTTAATGCACTACATATCAATAATATAAATATTTCCATATTGCACTCGCAACAAAATAAAGTTATCAATAATAATGTTTAAAATAATGCATGACTAATTTTCAAACTATTTCAAGTGCAATATGGAGGATATTTATATTAATGTTATGTAGTGCATTGAATTAGTAATTAAATTTGCTTTCAAATAAAAATCGACCTGTTTTAGCATTTTCTTAAAATCCAATTATTAATGCTGAAAAACAGGATGAAACTGTTTTGAGTGACCCACTCTGTATATCAAAAATGACTAGATTTATCAAATTAGTTCATAAAACAAAACCTGCTTAAAAATGCATTTTTTACAAGATGCGCTACATAAGGAAGATCCTCCTATTGAAAAAAAATTATTGAGCATAGCGCCATCTACATATTGACCTATTTAAAATTAATTTATATCAAATTCAAAATATGGTAAAGTACTCAAAATTTTTTTTCTAATAAGAAAAGCAAAAAAACCAGCCCCACGTTGGGCGCCAAAAATGAATGCTACCTACTTTCTGTGCCTAAGCACCGAGGTAGGATTTATATTACTCCAATGTTGGATGCCGACTAACAACAGTGAAGAAGGTTGTGAGTCGTAGAAAAAGTTATGTTTGTGAGTGGGCGTTAGGAGTTTAACCTCACATCCAACAATCCATGTGACAGTTCACTACCAAACTCCAAATAGAAAACTATAGCATCTCCTCTACAAGGCCATCAAGCGGCTGATTATAAAATTGAACAGACAATTAGCAAGTGGGATAAATAACAAGAAAATTCAATATATACCCAAGTTTAATAATATAAATTAATTAAAATCGGGGCGGAAACGCTAGACCGATAAATGCGGGTATAGGAGGACCCATTAAATAATTACTGAACACAGATAAAAAAAAACTAGTGTATTCCTATTTTTATGAAAAACCGCTATAAGGCCAAATTTAAACGTTACAAACTAAAGCTCTGTTAGTGCTCTGTGAACTGGCTTTTGCAGAATGAAAATATCTCTATTACTTACCAAAATATCCAAGCTGGGGTTTTTATTGGTACACCCTGTATATTTTTTAATTCATTTTATTTTTAAGCATTGTATAAAATATTGAAAAAGTTAACATCCAAAAACTACGTTGGTTTCCAATACTATTTTTTCACTGTTTAAAAATGGCCTTTTTATATGTATCGTTAGTATAGTCTAATTAACAAGTTCAAAAGCGTGTTTTTGGGACATACTATTACGAAAATTATGTTCAATAGCTCATTCGATTTGGAATAATGTCTAGATCAATGTGTGAAGAAAAATTTTGCAGTGCATAAAAAATTGCAAAAGTTATAAACAATTAAACACCTCTAAAACATGGTGTTTGGTTTTTCGCCTATATTTTGTAAACTATAAATATTTTCAAAAAAGATCCTTAAAGAGGAGCAAATTTGCTATAAATAAGTTTTGACTCCCGGAACTGTACCTCCATTATTTATAATTTTAATTTAACGCTCAAAGTAGCCTTCCGCGTGCCATTTTAAGGTTGAGCGCACGGCGTCGAAACCGAGTACGTTACATATAATAATTTTTTTAAGTTAATAAAATTAAATTCAAAAATTTAAAAAAATTACGGTGTATTCTAAACACTTAGAAGAATTCATTCCCGTTGGAATTTTTCATAAAAATTAATTTTCCAACAAAGTAGGTTATTGTTAATTAATAAAAATTTTAGAATTTCTCTCATCATACAAATTGATAAAAATATTAAATAATTACCGTAATTTTTTTTGCTTCGTGGAGCTCTTTTTATATACATATAAAACAAAATAGCTTCATAAAAGTTTAAAAAATCTTAATACTTTGTTTATAATAATTTTTTAAAGTTTACAAAAACAGAAAAGTCACAGTGGTGCTACAAAAAAATTTTTTTTTTCAATTTATTATAATATTACTGTTTTAATGTCGAGAAAAGACATTTATTAATTAAAAAAATTTTTTTTTCCTCCATTTGTTTAGAAAACACCGTAATTTTTTAAAATTTTTGTATTTAATTTTATTAACTTAAAAAAGTTATTTTATGTAACGTACTCGGTTTCGACGCCGCGCCGTGCGCGCAACCTAAAAATGGCGCGCGGAAGGCTACTTTGAGCGTTAAATTAAAATTATAAATAATGGAGGTACAGTTCCGGGAGTCAAAACTTATTTATAGCAAATTTCCTCCTCTTTAAGGATCTTTTTTGAAAAATCCAAAAATATCTATAGTTTACAAACTAGGCGAAAAACCAAACACGATGTTTTTGAGGTGTTTAATTGTTTATAATTTTCTCAATTTTTCTTTACACATTGATCTGGACATTATTCCGAATCGAATGAGCTATTGAACATAATTTTCGTAATAGTATGTCCCAAAAACACGCTTTTGAACTTGTTGATTAGACTAGTAACCAAAAATATCATCTTTTTTTACGTTGGAAAAACTTTGCCAACTTTACAAACTTTTTAAATACTTACAGCAGGATCAGCCAAATAATCCTGTTTTCCTAGAAAAAAAGCTACAGGGACAACTATTTTTGAGAGATCATAAACAGGAGGAGTTTTACTACCATATATTTCCATATTTTTCTCAGTTCCATAATCTTTTTGGATAAAACTTTTTGCTCTGCCAATTGCAGCAAAATGATCAATAATTCCTATTGGAATACTGTCGTCAAAAAGGAAAGATTGGACTGGTTTGTAGAGCTAAAATATAAGAGGTTATTTGTGGTTTTCAGATGCGCTATAAAGAATTTTGACTCACCGGATCTATTTGCTCAAAATCTGGACCAATAACAGGAGCCCTTTCCACCAAATCCAATATAAACCATCTATCCGGAGTAGAAGAAAAAAATTCCACAAAGGTGTTAACCCGTGGAAAATAGTTACCAAAAATGATTTTGAAAATAGGCTAAAATTAATTTTAATTATAAAATCAATGGTATGTATATTGCATAAAATAACATGAAAATTACATTGAAAATACATATAAATAACAATATTTATTGTCTAATTATACATGGTGTTCCGCAAGGAAAGAGAAATATTTTAAGGACTTGTTCTGCAAGCCAAAATAAGCAAATAATATTATGTAAACATGTGTATGAAAATATGCCCATTTCGAGTTACATGGTAACAAAGATATAAAAAAATCCGTTTTTCGTAAATTATCTGAAAATAATTTAGGATAGTACAGTGAGCTTTGATGTTACCTTTGTTTGACAAGAGGAAAATTCGAACCCTGCATCATTTTTGTAATGAATTATGCACTGTTGAAAGGGTATATGATTTTATGGTTCCTGAAGATGTGTCGCATCCTGCTTTGAATATTAATTTTCAAATATCTATTCCTAGTTGTAAACCTATTTTAAAAATTCCTACAGTACTTCATCAACTTTTGATGTTGACTTTGAGAGTGATTTATTAAATAATTTACATGTGCATATAGTTGAATTTAAAGAATCTGATGTCTCGAAGGCAATATTAAAGTTAAAATCTAGATTTACTAAGGGACAAGATAATATACCATCCTTCATGGTTCGCGATTGTTCCCATGCGTTAGCTATTCTTTTAAATAAAATATTCAATTTGTCACTGCGTACTGGTACATTCCCTAATGCATGGAAGAGGTCAAGAATCTGTCCTGTTTTTAAAAAAGGTAAAAAAAAATGTATTGAGAACTATCGACCCATCACTATTATATGTAATTTTGCCAAAGTTTTTGAAATTTTACTATACAATAATATAATACCACACGTCAAACATCAGATAGTAGAAGAACAACATGGTTTTTGTAAGAACAGGTCAACAATAACAAATCTTTTCTCATTTACACAATACTAGTCGTAATATGCAGGGTGTCCCAGTTTTTATTAGACAGGCTGTAACTTTTATAATAATTATCACAATTAAATGAAATTCAGACCGGAGCTACAATGACTTGTGGGCTATCTGATGAGCGTATTTTCCAATATCCAGATATGTGATATGTCATATACCTATCTCTAACCGTTTCTGATAATTTGGTGGTTACACTAACTTATGATTCTTGTTCGAAAATAAAATGTAAAAATAGTACAGTTTATTGATTGTTATAAAAAAAGAATACATAATTATTATAATAAATGTTCGAACCGTCTTTCGTCCTCTTCAACACAAGCTTGAATTCGTTTTAGGAGTTCCTTTGTACACGATGCTCTTATCATCTCGGGAGTAATACTATGGCATGCTCCTCTTATTTTATTTTTAAGATCATTATCAGTTGGTTGGGTTGTATAGACCATGTTTTTGAGATGGCTCCATAAAAAAATCTAAAGGGGTCAAATCAGGAGAACGCGCTGGCCACCTTATAGGTCCCTTGTTTCCAATCCATTTATTGGGAAATCTCATATCCAGGTAATTTGTGACAATTCTATTATTGTGTGGTGGGACACCGTCCTGTAGCCAGAACATGGTTACGCGGTCGCTAAGCGGAATGTCTTCTAACAGCCGGGGAAGACAATTTTGAAGAAAATGTAAATACCTTACTTCATTTAACGTGCCATTAAAAAAATAGGGACCTATTAGACGCCCGTTAAATAGCCCGCACCAAATATTGATGTCCCACACTGTTTGGAAACGAGTTTCTCTGACCAAAGGGGATTTTCTACTGACCACTAGTGAGAATTGTGACGATTTACCATTCCATTGTTGTAAAACCTTGATTCATCACCCCATAAGATTTTCTCTTAAAACGTAGGATCCTCAAAAAGGATAACTTTGCACAAGATATATAAATTGCAACCTTCGCTCGTAGTCGGTGAGACGAAGTGCTTGAACAAGAAATATTTTATAGGGATGGTATTTTTCTGATTTGAGGATCCTGTGTACAGTAATTTTGCTAATTCCCATTTCTAGAGAAATTTCTCTAACGGAAGCTTTTGGATTAACATTTGCATAAGCCAATTTCTTTATTTCTTACAGGTGGGAATGTTTTATCGAATTCGAAAAAGAACCAGTTCGCATTTTTGACTCAATCAAGAAAAAGTATACGCTGCAGGTGTCCTATGATCGGGAAACCGTTGTCGATACACTCTTCTTGCATGACGCCCATTTTTTTGACACTCACCGTAGAAAAGTAACATATCAACACATTCATTGGGTGTGAAAGTAAAAGGCATTGTACTTTGAGTCGTTACCACTAAAAATAACCAATTAGTTGTCAACAGCGATGCAAAGTGACACAAAAAGTTTGACAAAACAAAGCCCACTAGATATATCTAGATGGGTAGCACAAAACATACATAAACACAATGTGTAACGAGGAAACTACTAAAGAAGTTTCAGGCTTTTTTTGAGACAGTAAGAAGGCACTTCAAATGTTCATATAATTTCTAATGTTAGATTTTTTTGTTATAAAATGTCCGTAAAATTTATTAAATTGTACTATTTTAATTTTCAGTCAAGACACTTAATAAATGTAACCTCCAAATTATAAGAAACGGTTAGAGATAGGTATAGGACATAGTAGTAGAAAAATGTGTAGAATTGATTGGAGAATTCAGAATTGTTGAAATATACAGTGTGACCTATTTGAAATAACAAAATTGATGGTCACTTCCGGTATGAGCGGAAGTTCTTGATATTCCAAAAAAACGCTCATTAGATAGCAAACATGTCATTGTAGCACCCTTGTAAATTTCATTTAATTCTGATAATTATTATAAAAGTTACAGCCTGTCTAATAAAAGCTGGGCTTTCGACAAACTCGATCATAAAATATTACGTCAAAAGCTTAGCAAGTTTGGATTGTCCAAGCCTGTCATACATTTTTTCAATCTTACTTGACAAAAAAAAAACCAGTTTGTTGAAGTGCGTGGATTTGAGTCTGTCAATATCTTAGTAACCTCTGGCGTACCTCAAGGCTCGATTCTGGGACCGCTTTTATTTATATTATTCGTAAATGACATCATTAATGACGTTAACGTAAAATATTTAATTTATGCAGACGATGTCAAAATTTTTTATCAAGTAGATATCTTAAATGATTGTCTTAAATTACAAAGTAATATTAATAAAATAAACAATTGGTGTTCAATAAATAATCTGCCATTAAATTAAAAAAAAAAAATGCAATATAGTGTCATATACCAAAAAAAATATTCCAATTCTCTATAACTACTGTTTGGATGGTATTATATTAAATAGGCCTGATTTTGTTATAGATCTTGGGGTAAAGTTCGATAGAAAACTTACTTTTACTCTAAATGACGTGGTAAAAGCACCATTTAGAAATTTGGGATTTATCATTAGGCATGCAGTTGACCTCAATTCTATCAAAACCATGAATATGTTGTACAATGGGTTCGTCAAATCAAAATTAGAATATGCTTCATTATTATGGAAACCATTTTTAACCGACTTCAAAAAGGGCGGAGGTTCTCAATTCCTCGCGATATTTTTTTTTATATATGTTCAGCGATAATTTTTTAACACGGTGTCCGATTTTAATGATTCTTTTTTTGTTAAAACTGGGGTACTTCAGGGGTGGTCCCATATAAATTTTGTTAAAATCTAATAATTGGGTCCATGAGAAAATCCTCAAACTCTTCATTTTCTATGTATGTTTAGCGATAATGCTTTACCACCTTGTCCAATTTATATGATTCTTTTTTTGTTAGTAAGGGGGTACGTCAAGCGTGGTCACATATAAATTTGGTTAAGATGTTGTGATGGCATCTGCGTGTTTTTGAAGTCGGCTTTTTTAAATTTTTAATTTCTAATACTTGTATGATATTCACATAAGCGCTCTTGAAAACGTTCAAAGATGATATCTAAAATTCTTGGCATTTAAGATAGACGAAACATATCCACCAATTGGGATCAATCACAGTGTGAATCTATCTGAAGTCTACGATTTTCCTCACATGTCGATTCGCGGTGCAAATTGCAATATGCGTAAGGCGACATAAAAATCGCTGCCTCTCGACCGTATTTCACGTGCGCAAACAGACTGACTACTGTCGTGGCAAAGCAAGGTCAATAACAGGAAGCGAAACCAATTGGAAGATAAGCCGACTTTTTCAAGATGCGCTTCCGCCGACGGACTCGAAGTATATGGTGTGTGCGTTTACCCAATTAATTTTCTCATGGGTGGTGCGTGCGTTTACACATTACACCAATGAATTATTAGTACATTTAAGAAGATTACGTAATATTTCTGAGACAATATAGTACTTAATTTAATATTAATTTATATGCATTGTAAACAGAAAAATATTTATTTTTAAATCTCAAAGTGTAGGGAAGTGGTGCTTCCCACGCTTCCACGCACCTGAATCACACATTGCTTTTAAATAGATTCCAAATGCAAAGCTTAGAATGTAGACGAAGAAATCAGTCGATAATATTCCTGTATAAACTTATTAACTATCAAATTGATTGTTCCGAGTTATTAGAACAACTTGTATTTAAAGTGCCAAAAATTGAATCTCGAAACAACTTAATGTTTTATCTCCCGCTATCTCGGACAAATTTATTAAAAAACTCGATGTTATATTTTATGTGTGAAAACTGCAACAACCTGCAAGGTAGAATTGATTTATTTTCTTGTAAGCTTTCGCAGCTTAAAAAATTGTAAAGCTGTTTCGGTACTATTTGCCTGTGTATAGTCATTAATTTATTTAATTTTTGTTATATTGTGTAATTTTTGTTATGTTGTGTAATTTATGTTATATCCAAATTGTCTTATTGTGCAATATCTTATATTTACTTTTGTAATTACATTTTTTTTCCTGCTCTACAACTAGGCATTTAGCCTGTAGAGCAGTGTATTTAATAAATAAAAATAAATAAAATTTCCGAGAAATATTTCACTTACTCTAATAATAGGCCAAATTGGGACAATTTGCCTTAGAGTTGACCTTATGTTATTTATCGTTGCAAATGGTCCCAGAGATATCATTCCCTTGAGATAAGTGGTAGACTCTTCGGGAAATAAGCTTGAATAGACGTAGCTAATAGTAGAACCCATACCATAGCCAATATATATTGCTTTCTCACTTGTTCTATCATAGATGGAAGATAGACATGCTCTGAAGTCATAAATGGCCATTTCGTGGAAACTAAAACAAAGTCGAGGGGGTAACAAGCCTAGCAAAAATGTAAGGGAAAAAGGGGAAAGTAGGGCAAAATGACGAATTCAAGTTTTCAGGAAAACTTGTAACGAATAAAATCTGATCGTTAGTGAAAAACTACCCCTACCTACAATAGTCTTAATCTTTACTACGTTGGCGCGCACATGTCAGTTAGTGTAAAATGGCCGCTTGCTAAAGTGAATTGTATATGACTCTTGTAATATTTTCGTCGATAATAATAAGCTATAGATAGACAATTAATGGTAAGTTTTTTAATTGAACTTTACATATTTGTTAAATACCTTTTTGGGGATATCATATCTAATAGAAACTTCAAAATATTTCAATAACGTAGTTTTGTTGTTGGTTTATATAGAAAGGTCACCTTGGGGGCAAATTGGATAGGGCAAAATGACGAACTCGAAGTTACCTCATTTTTCGTCAATATGTCCCGCATGATTATTTCCAATATCTATTTAATTTTGTATTGTTTTAGATGGTTACAAATTACAAGAAAAAAAGTGATGGACGATCTTCGTCTGATGTGACAGGTCTACATGCAATTGAAGTAGAAAATCAAAGTGTTTATTCGCTCTGTGCGTGACAGCAGCGCCAATTCATTTAGGTACTAATGGACACTTTCTGCGTATACTGACAAATACAATTTTTAATAGAATTCGTAATTAAAAAGTATATATGTTAGTTTTAATAAAAGTATATGGATTTGTAAAACAAGTAAAACATTAATTTATTATTATATATTTTTATCGCTTAAATTAAAAAAATTAAGTATAATCAATAAAAATCAATAATAAAATATAGGCAGGCAACAGTATTTACTGTAAAATGTATGAGAAGTTGCTTAAGTCTAATAAGTTGTCTTTGAAGAATTAATCTATTCTGTTAAAATAAAAAAAATACCATTAAATAATAGCGTGAAATTAAAATGAATAAAATGAAGATCGTTATTTTTATTTTGATTTTTGTTTGAAAGAAAACATAGAATGAATAATTAAAACTGGTTTCCCAACAGTAAGTCACAAAATTGAATTCCAGTCACATTTTTTTTTCTCTCCTGGGCTCGTCTGACTATGTGTCTCCGAATAACACTGAAGCCTATTGGCTTATTGTGTTTTACCCCATGTTAGTTCATAGCACCCACTCTATCATCATTGTACCTTGTACAAGTTTGTACAGATCCTTGGGTGAGTGGGTTCTATACGTTGTTGGATCAACCTGGGGTTGTCCAAAAAGAGCCTGTCTTTTGCGATCTAGAGCTTCGCATTCGCACAGTATGTGTTTGGCCGTTTCTGGTTTCTTGTGACATAGTTGGCACATGAGTTCCCCATTGTACATGCCAATTTTGTTCAAGTGTCCCTTTACTGGGGCGTGCCCAGTCATGAACCCTGTTATCACTTTCAACTGGTTCCTATTCATTAAGAGTAGTTCTCCAGTCACATATAATAATCAAAGGCAGAAATCTTGAAATCTAGTCCTTGCTGAATAAACATTTAAGAATAAAGGGATGTTGAAGAACATCGTAAAATATTAATTTATTGTTTATTTAAAATCTTTCAAGTTTCTGATATCTACTATTTCCAGTATTACTGTTATTATTACAAAAATACAGGTAATTTTTCTTCTTCTTGTTCATCTATCCAGTTTTTTGTTTGATTTAACTTCCACTTTGCTACTGAAAATTTTTATAACTTTCTCTGTTTTTTTTTGCTAGTATGTGTACAATTTTCAACACAGCAACTCCGGTTGCTTACTGTATTGTTTTTACCTACATTTTTGAAAAAAAGTAAAATGTATACGCGTATTCGATATGCCAAAATTACAAAATATTGCCCTAAAATGCACGAATTATCCGCAGTTGCGCTAGTATCGCTTTTGCTTCCCCTACCATGACTTCACACTGAGCGAATAGCACAAGCTTTCAGTATGAAATCCCTGAAGCTACTTTAAGAAGTTATGTTAAAAAAAGGCATCGTAATGAGCAAACCAGTGCCAGATTCTGATGGTCGATACAAACGAACTTTTACTACTGAGCAGGAGAGAGAATTTGCTGAATATTTAAAAGATTTCCATGCTAGAGCTATTGGGTTAACCGCAAGAGAATGTAGCATTTGAGTTTGCTGATCAAAATCAAATTCTTAACCAACTTAATAAAATATTAAACATTGCTGGGAAAGACTGGTGAACCTTATTTAAACAAAGATATAATTTCAGCCTCCGGACTCCAGAATCAACTTCATTAGGGCGACTTATGGGTTTTAGTAAGGTTGAAGTTACTAGATTTTTTGATATTTTAAAAGAAACAAGACTTAAATACAACTTCACAGCGGACAGAATCTTCAAATTGGATGAGAGCGGCTTATCTACCGTCCCTACTAGGCAGTCCAAAATATTGTCCCCAACTGGCATCAAAAGAGTAACTAAAGTTGCCAGTGCAGAAAGCGGCAAAAATATTACCGTAGTCTGCTTAATTAGCGCAACAGGAACTTTGGTTTTTCCTTATTTCATTTTTCCAAATGAAAGCCCACCTGGCAGCGCCGGATTAGCTCATCACAGCGGCTGAATGACAACGGAGTCTTTTGTTTCATACCTTCATTTTATCAAATTTGTTAAGCCCACGAAGGGCAACCCCGTCCTCATCATTATTGACAACCATTCATCCCATCGATCTCTCGAGGCAATACATGTATGCAGAGACAACGGTATAGTTATGATAGGTCTACCTCCGTACCCCACTCACCGCCTACAGCCCTAGATGTAGGTTTTTTTCTTTACTAAAAACAGCCAGGCCTCTGAAAATTAATTAGTAAACAATCCTGTGTGCCAACAACTATGAAATCTGCCAATCGCTCTCAAATTATGCGAACTACCACCCCAACAAATTTGGACGCCAAGTTCGGAAACACCCTGTATAGTTGTTAAAAGGAGATTATTTATTTTTAAATTAATTTTTACCTTTAGTAGGACAATACCCTACTCAAATTTCTATTTTTTGTTATTGAAAACTTGAATATGGGTCAAATATATAATATAAGGAATGATCCACTAAAATTCACCTATGTCGAGCTTAAATACTTACTCTGAGATGTCAAGCGAACAATCGTTTTTCTTCTTTTTCTTTTTCTTCTTTTATTTTCTTCTTCTTCTTCTTTTTAATTATCAGATTGCAATTATCTCTGAGCCACTAAAGAGTTATCACAAACATGACTCGTATTAACGATGAATGACATTTTACAGGTATTTCAACTCATGTTAAAATATGGCACCAAACAGTGCTTAGTACCTACTAAAAAATCCACCACAAATAATGACTGTAAACTGTCCGAAAATTTCAGTTAATTTTATCTTTACTAAGTAAAAATACGCCTGTATCCAATTTTTTTAAAATATATGGTGGTAATAATTTATTAATGTCTACTAATCCTCTATGTAACAAACAAAATGAAATGTGAAAACAACGAGAAGGAAAATATATTTCATCAAAACAAAGTGAGGACATCACTATTTTTCATTATTTTTACGAGACAACAATCATTAAATAAGGAAAACAGTCTTTCCTACAAAATTGTGTTGTTCAAATGGATTTTGAAAAAGTGTTAGTGACAATTTGATGTTATGTTTACAGAAGAGTAGGTATTAAATTATAACTGCCACATTTTAGATAATTAATAACCACATTCCAAAGATACATGCTTATTTTGTTACCAGTCCTAAAACATCTTACATGGAGAAATCTTCTAATTGCAATAAAATGTGGTTCGTATAACAAGGCAAATTGATTAAAAGGGTAGGCACAAAAATGTTGAATGTAGATATTTTCAAGTGTGGAAATTTTATTAATATTCGCCAAGAACTTGCATTATAAATGTAAGAAACAAACAAATTATTATAAATCATTCTGTTCTTGTTTACATTTAAAATATCTTAATGATGTCTCAACAGTCAAACTGCTTGCTAATTCTAATAAAATGAACGCACATATACACACTTAAAAAATTGAAAATACCTTTATTCGTTCCTTTTCTTTATCTAAAAAATGTAACAAAGGCTATAAGAGCAATTACTAGCGTTTTTATTTTATTTCTACATCGTCCACTTTATGGAGGAAGGATGATTCTACTTTTGATATTTTATTACTTTTGATCAGTACATCATTCATATCTAAGATCAACAATAACTAGACTAGACAACAATAACTAGACCTCAACAAAGATGAAAAAAGCATTACTTAAACTAACAACAATAAGTAATATTGAAAGATTATTAAAGTTATAAATAAAATTCAATTATACCTATTTGTTCGTAAATATGTCATGCTTCGTGAATATTAGTATAATAACCTGTCAAATCATGGACCAATTATCTAATGGCCAGATCTCTTGAAGTTGGATACATGTTGATGTTAAAACATACTTTATCTAGCTCTTATAATGGTCGAACGAGTACCTTACCTTCTAACGACCTCTGGTGGATTTTTTGAAATTACTTTCTGTTTGGTATTATATTGTCTTTTGTTTTTATATGGAAGTGGAAACACCTATAATAGTTGTCATTAATCCTGCTTGTATCTCTACCTTTATCGGCCAGGGCCTACTTTAGAAACCTTTCTCATAGATAACTCTTTATAATTGTCAACATTAAGGACACCTTCTGTAATACTAGAGATATATTGCAAATTTATATAAATCCAGCTACTAATAGTGACAACGTAATTAAAGCCAAATAAATGCCATGCCAAAAGCAGACATTGCAAACCTGAAGTTTTGATATTTGAATCCTTGTCCTTATATTTATTTCTTACTTCATTTTAAAAACTTTATAGCTAATCTTTGTTGTTATCTAAAATTAGTAAATAATATGGGAAAGGCATTATAAATGGCCATTTTAGGCGATTTAGATGATGATAATAATATTAAATATATAATAATAGAATGTTGGCGAGGGCACCCGAAAGCTATAGAGTCGCCACTATTTGAATCCTTTAAACATCCACAACTAAGGACAAACAAGGAACAAGCACTATCCTTAATAAAGTCAGTTCTAAAACAATTGATCAGCGCATGCTCAAATGTCAAAATAAGAGCGGCGCTAATAATGACTGATCTTAAATGAACTTGCAATATATCTCTATTACAACTAGAGGAAAACTTAATTATAAAAATATAGTAGGTAAGAACTTACTCAAAATTAAAATAAGCATCCTCACTAAATGACAAGTAAACATGATTTCTGCTGTATTTTGAACCTCTCCAATTTATTAAATTAACTTCATATCCTTCTTTGAGCAGATGATAAACTATAAAAAGTAAATAAAATAAATATTAAATTTGGAGCTATAACTAATAAAAATATTTGCATATACCTACATTAGAGATAAGGCACATAAAGATAGGAAACGCTCATAAGAAGCTTGAAGACAGTTAACATCCGACCCTCTATGTGGCACTTTCATAGATATCAAACAAGCAGCGGGAAATTTAGAAACCAAATAATAAAGGTTGTATAAATATCGATTGCACTCTCATGTTCTGGTAAATAAATTTAAAGAATATTAATTACACTAAATTATTTATTAAAAAGCATACTACACTGACTTACAGTCTATTATAGATTATTTATTGTAAATCTATTCATGACTAATATTTTTAATTTTTGATCATTTTTTGTAACTTTAACATTTTTGTTTTTTAAACGAATAGCTAACGGTGTCTTTCTATATGACATCTTCTCTCCAACATTTTGAAGCTATTCTCTTACTCTAAAACAATAAATAATAATAAATAAATACTTGTGACAAAAGTTGGCTAGTGTTTGTGATACTTACATGGCTAGATCTTTCTTTGGTAAATTAAAAAACGCCACATTGGGGTTGTTAAATTTATTTATGTAATATTACAAAATATAAATATGTTCCTCAAATTTCACACAAAAACAACCACAACTATTTCGCTTAGTTCATCTAGAGGATAACACAATCATGAACTCAAAATTTAAAATTAAAATTTAGAATTCTACGATATACATACAACTAATTGACATTTATATTTACAAACTGTCCACGGCTGTGCACATCTACTGTCTATACCTACAAATTAGGTGTACCTTTATTTTACATCTGAGACGCATAGATGACGCCACCGTTGCTGCGATCGTTGCGTTTCCTATCTTTATGTCCCTGATCCACATACTTTGATTACTATACGATGCAAGAGAGAGGTCCGCCACGCCCAACATAGGGCGCGGCCATTTTGATGCCTTTGCCACAGTTTATAGCTAAAGAATCAGTTCGCTCACTCTGCGTCGGAACTTTTGATCTCAATGTTCCAGTTTATACATTGCGTAACTCGGATAATACAATATATGACAACAGCCTATAATAAAACAGCAGTCTTCTGCGCATCCTGAATTTGTATCCCTGGAGTGGATGTTATTTTGGAACTTTCAACTGGTCCGAGTGAGCTAACTGATTCTTTAGCAATAAACTGTGACTCCAAAAATAATATTCTGTGACACTGACAGCAGCACAAAATATTAAAAATATTGCACCAAGATGTAGGCAGCACGTAATAAGGCATAAAAATGGCGGAGTTTTCTATCTCCTTTTAAAAGGCACTCAGAAAGCTGCGCAGTGCGACCATTCTCCGTATAGTAAGAGAAATAAAAGTATGTGCCCTGATCTGTGACTTCAATCTTTTCATATTAGGCATCCCAACGACCTCTCGAACTGCTGACAATTGTGAACTGACATTTACATATGGCAACCCGGTGAGCTTGTTTTCATTGACAGGTCCAATGATACATACCTATATAGTTACATAGATTGCTCAAAGCGGGTCGTTTGAGAGCGGCCATATTGCCTCGCAAGTGCTTATTAATTAGAATCTATTTTGCAAAAATATGTTTACAAACCAATATTTAGCCTTTGAATATAGTAAAAAAAATAATTACCTACATTTTTACTTTAAGTCATAAGCCTATGTTTATTTTGAAAAACATGGATGATCAATCTATATAACTATCTATTTCATTTACCTTGTCAAATCACCAGGCCTACAGGGTTGCCATAATTTTGCCGTATCATAACCTGTCAAAACCCATTGGTAGCCATTTTGTTTGGAATGCCTAATTGTGGTATAGAAAATACAAGAATATCAAGATGAGCAGAAGCTCCGTGCAAGAAGACCACCTAAAGACCGACAATGCGTTGTCGAGATATTGAAATAACACAATCAAGTTATAAATTATTAAAAGAAGTATAAAATAATTCGTTGTAAAGGAAGTAGATAAAATATTTCTAGTGCTTCAATCCATACAAATAACCAGAACTAGATAGCGTATTGTTTGGGTATCTACAGCAGCCAATAGAAACGCTGGCCTTGGACATCGTCTCTGCAGTGTAACTTAGGCAAAAAATCATGTACCAATTAATTGTAAATACAGCGGAGTGCTTTTTATACCCAAACAAGAGCTAAAGGGTATATTAGGAGAGCGATCGGCTCAGTCGAAAACGTCTAGCGAAAAAACTGATCAACATGACCAGTCATGACTAACTAGCTGATCGCTCAGAAAGGTCGATATATGTTGTCTGACTTTAGTCTGAGTGGTTGTTTTTTCTGATTTAGTAGTCAAAACTGTCAAGGGAATAGTCAATGCTGTAATGTCAGCTGGGGCGTATTTCTGATCCCTCTTTTCATTTACTTGGATACCTTTGTGCCTTGGTACCCACGCTAGTTGTGGGTTGCCAGATCATTTAGTATTTCAAGGCAGTTCCAAACAAGCTTTGACTTGATTCTGTTTGAATCAAGAGCCTTTAAGGCTGCTTGGATATGTAAGACAATTAGGATGGTTTGTTTTTTGTACTTCCTTCTTAAATTCTCTCATACACACAATTCGATTGCATGTATTTCAGCCTGAAATACAGTGATATGTTTTCCCAGTTAGACAATAATGTTGCATTTGGGTTTAACTCCATGTACGCCAGAGCCTGTTCCCTTGTTAGTTTTAGATCCATTCACATACCATACGAGACCGCTAAGTAAAGTATTTCTATACCTCCTTATTTACCTAGTTCCAGTTGCAGTTGACCTAGAAAAGTCTGTTTAAGGTTAGGAGGAATGTCATGTGATCTGATTCCATGTTTAGTATAGGATCATTTACTTTATGTGTTTTTCTGGTATATTTTACATGTCCCAGTGGTTTCCAGTTGTTGGAGATTTCCAGTCTGTATGCACTCATTCTGACCTCCTCCTTTATGACTAGGTCAAGGGGTGGCAGGTTTATAATGATTTTTGCAGAGGCTGTCTGTGTACTTCTCAGTGCTCCTGTAATACAAATGCATGCCAGCTACTGAATTCCTGAGAGGGTACTGAGGGCTGTTTTCTGGTTTACTTTTGGCCACCAAACAACCGCTCCATAAGTTACCATGCGTCTTGTTTTTGTCAAATATAGCCAGTGGACCATTTTCGGTTTTAATCCCCATGTTTTTCCATATGTCTCTCTCTACAATGAAGAGACATTTTACATTTGTTGGTCACTTTTTGTGAGTATTGGTTCCAAGTAAGTTTGCTATCTTGGATTATACCTAGATATTTTACTTGGTTCATTTTGTTTAGCCTTCCTCCAAACAGAATCGAAGCCAACCTTGTTTTCCGAGTAAAGGTTATGAGTTGTGTCTTGTCAGGATTTACCAAGAGGTTTTCCCTAACGCACCACATTTCTGTCAGCCTAAGAACTCTTTGCATGAGTTCGAAGACTGTGGTTTGGTGTTTCCCTCGGATAAGGATGACTATGTCATCGGCATATCCTTGGGCGTACAGTCCTTGGTTGTTCAGTCTTTTCAGCAGTTCATCTGCCACTAGGTTCCACAGTCGAGGAGAACCGACTTCACCCTGTGGGCATCCCCTGTGGATATTCATCTGCATGGTTTCACTGAACATTTGCGCCTGTACTTGCCGTCCGCGTAACATGTCTTCTATCCACCAGCAGATGGTGTCTTCTATTCCATGTTTGGGGGCGGCAGCTACTATTGATTTAAGGGAGGTATTATCAAATGCTCCTTCTATGTCAAGAAATGCTCCTAGGACTATTTCTAGGCTACTGAGTCCCCCCTACATAGGTATACAAAAATATTTTCTGGTGTGGTATATATATTCGAAATAAAAATCGATTGATTACTTTCTATTAATCGATTATTTTCAATTAATCGATTATTTTCAATTAATCGATTATTTTCAATTAATCGATTATTTTTAATTAATCGAATATTTTCGATTAATCGATTAATTAATATAATCTAATGACCCATTAATTGATTAATCGATTTTAAAGAAGATACAAAGAAAATTGATTTTCTTTCAACCCAATAAAAAATGTGTTATGGGACTTGTGGACAACAACTTGTGAGAATTTGGTTTCATAAAATAAAATATTTTTTTAATTTTTTGTAGTCCTAAAAATACATACTGGTTAAGTTAAATTTTATAAAAAGTTCTTTTATCAAGGCTTTATTAAAAATAAAACATTAAAAACTAATTTTTAACTAAAATATATTATTCGTCATGAGATTGAAGCGAAATTTTTTATCCTGAGAAGAAAAGTTATTACACTTTTCATCCCAAAAGTGCAAAATAATTTCTTCATTAAAGTTTTTGCATAAAAAAACTTTTTACGATACAAAATTTTGGGTCAATTAAAATTAACAGGGAGCTCAAAAATTACAAAAATGTAGCGTTTAGGTCATACTAGTATAAACAAAATAAATTTTTCGAATAAATATGTTCGATAATTCCATATTATAAATCAATCATTTAATTATTATTATTATTATTTTTTTTTGTGTCATCGGCATCAACTGCTACGGTTATTAGCCTCTTGTTCTGTGTAGGCTTTGTTACTGTTTCCCAGCGCCACTTTAGGAACAGCACTGTTAATTAGTACCCAACAGTGAATATTCGAGTGGGGAATCCTACCAAGGCATCAGAATTAATTTTAAATAATTAAATTAAATGAAAAAATCCCGGCCAACGGTGGGATTCGAACCTGGGACCCTTGGATCCGCAGGCAGAGACTCTACCACTTAGCCACTTACCCCGTATTATTATTATTATTATTATTATTATTATTATTATTATTATTATTATTATTATTATTATTATTATTATTATTATTATTATTATTATTATTATTATTATTATTATTATTATTATTATTATTATTATTATTATTATTATTATTATTATTATTATTATTATTATTATTATTATTATTATTATTATTATTATTATTATTATTATTATTATTATTATTATTATTATTATTATTATTATT